GGTTATCATTTTTTTCTTTTTCTTTCTTTTTTTCGCCCCCCCCCCCCTCTAAATCCGCCCTTGGTCCGTTCATACTGAGTGACAAGTGATTCAGCTGGGATTTCAACCCCATGACGTTCAGATTGCAAATCTGGTAACATAACCACTTGAGTTTTAGCTTTAGTGGAGAGAACAGATACTACAGTTGTATTTCTGAAATGTTACACCCATTTATGATGATACATTCTGTAATCTATTTAAGCCACCCTCGTATTATGTATTTTCAGTGTCAGATTCAGGGGGAGGGGATCAGCCGCCTCCGGCTCCTCCACCCCCTGGCGAAAAGAAATCAATTCAATCAATTCAAAATTTTTAAAAATGAGGGAAAAAAAGAAAATTCTACTCAATATCGAGTAAGAATGCCATTTCTTGCCATCTGGAGATGCCATAATCATAAATCCATGGTGGGGCTGAGGTAGTAGCCTATAAGCCCTTCATCCCCCCCCCCCCCCCCCCCCCCCCCCCCGTCCCCCCCCCCCTTTTTTTCCCACCATTCCCAATTCCTGGATCCGCCACTGGTTTTGCAGAACACGAAGGTATTTTGTCACGGTTTTTACACCATCAAGCTGTAAGTTAGTGCGCCGCCATGTGCGACGTATTTTGGAAATGTTTTCCCAGGACACATGTGCGCGTAAATAACACATTACTGTATATTTATTTGGAAAGACGTGAAGATTGTCACTCGGTTAGGTTACTGCCCAATTCTTTCGTAGATGGCCTCAGTCTGAATATTCTATTTCTTTAAATCGGGATACAGAGATACTTCATTTAAAACTCACCACTGAAGAAGAAATGATGATTTTATGACTTTCTTTTGTTTTAATGAGTAGAGCTCTATTTAATCGTGATTAAAAAAAATTGTAGTGGCAGTGTGTGAACCAGGACCCTGGATTGGAAAGCATCGTAAACATTACAACTCCAGCCAATAAGCTGTATATACCTTCTGTTTTCCTCCATACACTATCCAACCATCACACGTTCCTGTGACGTCAACAACAAGAGACTTGTCCATTGACGTGTGGCTGACATCAATTAGGAGCTCACGTGACCCATCACAAAGGTTCATATGAACAGTATTTTGTTTCTGTATGACCTTCTGAAAAGTATTAAAAAAAACCTTGATAAAACATGATTTGGCATTCTATCTTTCCACCACAGGCCTGCCTATTCGCCGATTTAGTATGTTTTCTTAACTAATTATCTGAGTTTACTATGTTCCTTCGCAATTTCAATTAGATGCGATATTAAAGCCTTGGTTCTACGTGTTAGTGCTGTCTGTTCCACAGAGAAGTTATTAAGAAACAGTTATTAAGCAAAAAAAAAAATGACGATACATTCACAAATTCATCATTACCAAGACCTGTATTTAAGGTATCTGTGTGTGGGTTAAGTTTTTAATTACTGGAATCACTCAATCAATGGCACTCAATAATTACTAGTGTGAAGCGTCCAAAAACGTTTCAAAAAATCGTTCAAAATCGTTTCGAATTTTTAGTTGTTGACAGGCAAAATTATTCTGAGAACTATAGGCCTAAATAACTGTAGATGTAATAGCAATTAAATAACCAGTTAAAGTATATATACAGTAAACAACCGACTATCCGAACAAAAAATTCTCACCAAACTGATACCAACTCATATCCAGATACTACACATATCAGTGTAGTAGATATTTTTTATGCTTATATTTAGCCGACAAAGCAATTGGACATGCGACAGCGACAGTGATGATCAAATAATTTTATTGCAATTCTGTAAATATATAGCATGAAATTACTTACTGCTAACTGAGTTTCAGAACTCAACCAGAATGCAACTTCAATACGAACATCTTCTGTTGATAGTCTGCCAACAAACGCAGAACATTGCACTGGAAGAACCCTACGCCCTGTGGCACATGCTTCGATGTCATTAGACGTGTAATTCAAACACGTATAAAGACCAGTCTTGTCAATTGAAATGGTACATCTAACTCCATCACTGATTGACGTGTTTTCATCAGAGAGTCCAGTCCATACCTCAGTAAATTTTTCACCTTGCTGGTAAAAAGGTAGAATATGTTTATTGTTGAATAATGGCAACGATAAAATGGCGTGTTCTTTAAATGTTAGTGTTGACATATTCTTTGAGATGCATCCGACGCGAATGACTGGAGATGCGTACGTAGGGTTACCATGCACACGCTTGGTAGTTGTGCGCTCCATGTACAAAAAGATGGTTACACATGATTCTTGCAGGCTAAGTAGTGGAAGGAGGAGTGTTACACCGTAATAATCAAGGGAGACCACGCCTCCATCATCATCGATACAGACGGCAGAGAAGTCTCTGCTCTGGTAAGTGGCGCCGGCATGCGATTCCTTGCCTGCGTGCAGAATCATTGCTATATAGCTATCCAGGTCCAGATCAGACTTCTTACTTGATTCTTGCATCTGAAGAAGATTAATACCGGTAATCAATAGATTTATTATGGAGGAGAGCTGTGGAGCTAAATCACCACAAAAATTAAACAGCTTTTACCAAACTATAATATATATACGGTACCGTACTTTTATAGGAAAAGAACTGAATAGGGTCTGGTAATGTTATGTTTTTTGAAGAATATAGAAATGGAAAAGAAATTGGAAATTTAAGGAAATACTACAAAGAAAGTACTATAGTAATGCCGTATAGCAGTAGAAAGTGCAAACAACAAAATGAAAGTACTGTAGCTATACATAGCTGAGGAACTGGTTAACATGATAACAACAGAAAGAACATGACAGAATGATAGACGTTTAATCATAGACGTCAGTGATTATAGACGTTTAACGATCTTGAGTGTTAAGTTATGAAGTATCAACAACACAAAATATAGGAAGATAGTGATGACATTTTTCTCTCATAAACCAACGCAACATGACAATGAATTTATTTAAAAATATTAATTTAGGCCTGCACCACTCTGCTATTGGCATGCTGCCATTGTACTTATAGCTACGTTACTCCAACAAAATACAAAATTGTTTGGTCTTTACCGGGTTCATATCAATGTGATCATAAATTGGAGATTCTGTGCTCTCTTCCTTGTTGGTTGCATTTTGCGTACTGGACACTTTGTGATGTCCTCTAATATTCATATATATTGGTGCATCTGAAAGCGCCTTTTGCTCCATCGTATTCGTTGTCCTGTCATTCTTACTGTCAATGTTCTGAGTAGAGTCCATTGAGATTTGCTATTGCAATCAATGGCACTCGATCAGTACACAGCATGCTAAACAAACGGGCTGTGAACTAAACAAGTAGAGATGAAACGATATATGCATACAGTATATAGACATCATCTTATTAAGCACACTCCTGATGATTTTGAATCATATATACTTATCTATATATTCATATATACATACATATATATATATTGTATATAGGCCTATATATATGTATATATAGGCCTATATGTATATATGTGTATATATGTATAGGCCTATATGTATATATATATGTATATATGTGCATATATGTATATATACATGTATAATATATGTATATATATGTATATATATAGGCCTATGTAAGTGTGATTATTATTATAATTATTATTATCATTATTTTAATATTACAATAATGATGATAATAATAATTATGATAATAATTATTATGATAATAATAATCACACTTACATATATATGTATAGGCCTATATATAATATATGTATATATATATATATGTATATATTATATAGGCCTATGTAAGTGTGATTATTGTTATAATTATTATTATCATTATCATTATTGTAATATTACAATAATGATGATAATAATAATCACATTTACATAATCATAATAACTAGTATAATTATAATAACTATAATAATATGTAATAATTTTGATCATTTATATAGACCCTTTGTCGCTATTTTGATTACAGTGTGCTCTCAGATGTTTTGACTGCCGACATTTTGTTTATTTCGCTCTGTTGTGGGTCACAGGCCAGTTCACCACCAACTCTTTTAAGTGCTACCGAAAGTTTATTATCTTACGATTTATTATGGTTAATTCCTTACAGTTTTTATTTTGATCTGTTCTGTATTTCTCATTCATACGTGTAAACGCTGAAGAAGGACACAGGCGTGTCCGAAATATTCGTCTTGCATAAATTTTATGTTTCTATTATGTCAAAGCATGCTATCGTTTTATTTCCGTATTTGCTTATATATATATATATATACATAAATCATCAAAGAAAGGTAAATACAGTGTTCGAATAAAGGACATAATCATACATCGTGTAGCATAGCTCGCAATGAATGTAGTCCTGTAAATAAATAAATAAAGAAATTGTGTAATAAAATGCCTCTGGCGGGACTCGAACCAGCGACCTCTCGCTGTCAAGGCGAGCGTCATAACCATTAGACCACGGAGGCTTCATGGTTAAACAGATTCAAATACCACCTGATACACTC